ACTGAGCTCACACTGAGTACACACACTGAGTACACACACACACTGAGTACACAATGAGTACACACACTGAGTACACACTGAGTACACACACTGAGCTCACACTGAGCACACACAATGAGTACACACACACTGAGTACACAATGAGTACACACACTGAGTACACACAATGAGTACACACACTGAGTACACACACACACTGAGTACACACACTGAGTACACACACTGAGTACACACACTGAGTACACACACTGAGCTCACACTGAGTACACACACACACACTGAGCACACACTGAGTACACACACTGAGTACACACACTGAGCTCACACTGAGCACACAATGAGTACACACACACACTGAGTACACACACTGAGTACACACACTGAGTACACACTGAGTACACACACTGAGTACACACACTGAGTACACACACTGAGTACACACACTGAGCGCACACACACACACTGAGTACACACACTGAGCACACACACTGAGCTCACACTGAGTACACACACTGAGTACACACACTGAGTACACACACTGAGCTCACACTGAGTACACACACTGAGCACACACACTGAGTACACACACTGAGTACACAATGAGTACACACACTGAGTACACACACTGAGTACACACACACACTGAGTACACACACTGAGTACACACACTGAGCACACACACTGAGTACACACACTGAGTACACACACACACACACTGAGCACACACACTGAGCACACACACTGAGCACACACACTGAGCACACACACTGAGCACACACACACACGCAGCACACACTGAGCACACAATGAGCACACACTGAGCACGCACACACACACTGAGCACACACATGCAGCACACACACTGAGCACACACTGAGCACACACACACTGAGCACACACACACTGAGCACACACACTGAGCTCACACTGAGTACACACACTGAGTACACACACACACTGAGTACACACTGAGCGCACACACTGAGCACACACACACACTGAGCACACACACTGAGCACACACACACACACACTGAGCACACACACTGAGCACACACACACACACTGAGCACACACACTGAGTACACACACTGAGCACACACACCGAGTGTCCTGGCGGGGGATTGCCTGGCACAACGAGTTTTCATCCGAAGGGTCCCGAGGAGGAAAGTGCCACGGTTTCCCGGTGCCAGGGGATTGGCCGACCCTCGCAGGACAAGTCACATTGCGGTGTCCCTGAGTTGGCTTAAAATTGTATCGGCACACAAAGGTTCACCGGGCCAGCCGCAATGAGTGATACACGACATCGGGGAGGGAGCTGGGGTGAAATATTAAGCGAGCAGAGCAGACTAAGAGGTCAGGGGATCGCAGCGCCACGACCTCCCCCGGCCCCAGACCGAGATCACACTGGCAGGGTGTGTATCTGCCAGCCGGACGTCTTTCCCGATTTAACGGGATGAGTCAGAAATTAATGAGTACGAGTGCATAGACAATAGGCTGCCGAAGTAACCGTCGAAATGCTCCGTGTAAGGAAAGGTAAACGAGCGAGGATCGCAGGTAAGCGCACGATTGGCTGCGCGGGATAACGCAACCCTGCATTTTTTTAAGTCAGGGGGCATAAAAAGGGGAGCCTGAAACCGTTCAGATGAGAACTCTTCTTCAACATCTTGGTTGCCAATACCCCCCCCTGCCATCCTGCCTCCTCGAGCCACTGCCAGTGAGTGCTGCTACGAGGCAGTGATAGGCAAGGTTTTTTCGTCATCCTCCCTCCGACTCTCACAGCCTCCGTGCGACGCCGTGAGTACAGCTACGAGGTACGTGATAGGGCGTGTGAGCGTTTGGGGACTTGGGTAGCAGCAGTAGGCTAGGCTCCGCTCGTAGAATATTCCCTCCGGGTAGTGCGGGGTTTGCGCCGCGAATAAAAGTTAGCACAGGGCATCGGTGTGGTGTCTGTGACTCCTGTGTGGAGCGGCTGCGTGGGCGTACGCGCGGCGAGAGGGAGGGCGGAGCCGCAGCACGAGCGCGCGTTGAGGCAATGGCTCGCAGGTGTGGCCGCGAGTGTGCCGCTACGGACTGCGTTAACGTTAGCTGCGGTGTGTGTGCACTTTAGGATGTAATCGCCCGCAGGGGCGCGCGCGTTCGCGCCCCGGCGTTAGCGGTAGCTGTGGTGTACGCGGGCGTGTGTGGGTTAACGCCGTGCGGCTGTGAGCCAGCAGCATGAGCATGTCCCGCAGAGAGGGCGCTAGCGCGGGGGGCCCGATCACGCGGTCAATGGGGGCCCGGTGGGTGCCGACCGAGGCGGTGGAGGAGGCAGTGGAAGGGGCGGACGTCGCGCCCCCCAACTGCCCGGCAAGGGCGGCGGGGCGTTTGTCGGCCCCCACAATTGCTGAACAGGTTCTGGACAGGGTGAGGTCTCTGTGTAGTCAACCTCCGCCGTCAACACGACAACCTACAACTACAAGTGTGGCTACCTACAGACAGGGTCGCGTATTGTTGACGAATGTCCACCGACTAAGTTCGGCGGAGCTCTACGAGAACGCCACATGGCCACGGAGGACGCTACCGCATGGCTCGGCGATCACGCACACGCCGAATGACGACCATGTGACTTTGTGCTTGGGTAAATTAAACCATGTTTTTACCCTAGATCACATATGCAATGTTTTAAAAATTGCCAATATATACCCAACATAGAATGTGGTTATGCGCTATCATTGGTTACCATTCCTGCTCTGATAGTTAAATACCGGGTTGACTGTCATGCAACAAAATTACGCCCTAGTGTGTAGAGGGTTAAGGACGTGCTGCCATCTATGGAGTGGGGCTCGAGGTCCCTTGAAGAAGGGAACTCTCAAAGACGGCCTACTTCTTTGGCCACCAATGACTACGTGGACTCCAGCCCGCGGCCTCCACAAAGCTCCGGGCGGCCCTGATAACTCACAGTGTTTTGTCAATCCACTGCTGGATGAAGAAATCGCCACGCCGTGTCGGTTATAGGGGTTGTTTTGACCATACTTTACCACGCTGATCAGTACCGGTTGGTGTGAAGGGTGGGTAGGCGAGAGGGCATGGCCCGTACTGCTGATCCACCCCAATAGATAGCTTAAATACGTAACATTTTTTTCTAAAAAGGAACAAACACCACTCGCCACTGACGTTGGTCATGGCCGGGAATGGAAATCTTGTCGGATGTATATGCACAGTGCGGTAACCACTGCGCCACCGCTCCACCCCCCACGACAACATAATCAGACCTGAAGGTCCCATTATTCACTACCCCAACCCCCACGACCCACACAACCGCCGGGCTCTCAGGGGCTTGGGGTTCATTCTAAAACAGGACGGGATTTTTTTTTTCAAATTGTCACTTACTGCTCGCTAAGTGTGAACGCGAAAGGGCACGTGTGGCTCTTGCATATATTTAATTACCGAATTAACGCGGATCAGCCCGACTGCATATCCAATTACTAGCCAGCTTGCTTCACGCTCTCGGCAGTGCATGCAATTCAATGCACGGCTATTGCCGCTGTGTCCTGATAATGAGACGCTACGGAAAGTAAGACGCACCCCCAGACCGTGTGCCCGGTGTCAATAAATGTGCACATATAATCTGGTCGCACTCACCTAACCGGATTGTAAGGCGCATATACAGGGGGAAAGAGTGTGCCTGATAATACGGAGAACACGGTGATGTATGTGTAAGGGCACTGATCCCTACAACCGAGTGGTTTCTCCAAATGCAGTTGTCGCGACCCATCACGGAACACCTTCCCACGTTTACCCGTCCTCTCCGTCCAAATATTAAGTGGGCTCACGCTACACGCATCTGACGATTGAAAAATATGTCCCACGTGGTCTATCGAAGGCCGATTCAAATGAACATTTGAGGTCTCGAGCGCGCGCGTGGCTGTGTACACGTGTCTCCCTCGACGTAGGCGGCACTCATTCTCATTAAGACGCGTCAGTTCAAACAAATGCTTTAGGGCAATTTCCACCAGAGGAATGACTCCAGACTCCCAGTGTGGGTGGCGAGGTGAATCGGGGGAATGGGTGAGATGGAGGAAGCATGGTGAGACATGGGGACCTGTCCTTGGATAGATAACTCATGAAGACGTTCAGTCTACATTCAAATGAAAAAAAGCCCCAATAAATGTCACAATTTGCTCTTTATGTTGATTCTAAAACAGGACAGTGTTTAAGATAAGCATTTTCAAAGGTCAAAATAACGAATGTGTTTGTACGAGCGCGTTGTATCTATTATGTGTGATGTACGTTACAGGTCTGTGTCGATTTCACTTGCTGGATGAAGGCCTCCCCACTTCGTCTCGGTCACTGGGTGTTGTTTGACCATACTTTACCACGCCGGTCAGTACGGATTGGTGTAGTTTGGGGCCCAGAACCTGCTCGATTAACACGGTTGGCTATGTACGGTGCGTAAGAAGTGCAGATATATCCCTTGCTACTGAAGGTGGCAGTGGGCGAAAATCGAACGCGCTGCGTTTGTAGCCTGCAGATTGCTTAATTCGCTGCGTCATCTTTCCACCCCACGTTTTCTTGATTAAAATATATGAAGATACAGCGTTGCATTGCTATGTAAACTAGAAGGTGACGCTTGGTAATTTAACACGTGAATACAAATATTACTTTAACCCAGCAATGCCCTCCGATGTGCGAGCGAGCAGCAGCATTATACTTTCAGCAGAGGGCGCACGTAGGTAGTCATAGAGACTCGTGAAATATCGCCTCCAGCATTAAAGCCCTCGTTGAACGCAATGGGTGGGGCAGGCAGTGGCCGTCTGGGTTCATGGCATGAACTCCGTGAACTGTGCATGCAGCTCAATCTCACACAGAGCCGCAGCACCCCAGCGGTTTATCCACTTGCACAAAACTGATCAAAGTTGTGCTGGTGAGATTTTCACCTGGTTAAACAAAATCAACTTGACACTCGATTGTGACTGGATACACTAAACCACGTACAGAATTCAGATGTGCAGATATTGCAGGCCTTAATATCTTTATTTCACTTATGTACAATAATAATAATATACGCCAATATATGCCGAGGAGATAAATACGTACACTTATTCCTGTAAATTATTCACCGTTGGCCACAAGCACAAAACACGCAACCGCTCACGACAGCACACATTTTTGAAAAACTGCGTACTAAAATACTGACAGTGGAAATTTTGAAATACGGTGCAATGCGCCACAGGTAAAGCATGCAGCCCTCCAACAGTTTCTGGCTGACACCGCTTCTGGCGTAAGGAACCAACAGCAGGATGAGCTCTCTCGAGCCAATAGAGAGGGCATTTGGCCTAGTCTTCCATGCTGGCCAGACCTCTTGGAAGAGGTGGGAGTACCCACATTTTACCCCATTCATGCTGTTGGGTGCTCAGAAGCGGAGGGGTGGGGGGAGTGATTCACGTGACCTTTCCCGTTGTTTCAACTACCCTCGCCCTGAGATTGAGTTGCACCAGCCACCTCTGGATTGCAAGTCCAGTGGGCTCACCATTACACCACGGCAACAACCCTCGATAATCGATCATGTAAAATGAAATGTTCTACCAACAATATTGCATATAAGCTTTCAATACACATTTACGATATAACGTAGAGATTTATGGGCTGTTTTTTGTAATATACACAAGCAGCTATAGGAACCCGGTAGGCGTCAATACAAGCATTGTAGGACATTTATATGTCTATAAATTTTAGTTAATACACAAGGCTAACGTCACTATTAGTCACGTGAATGCATTTCAAATGCTTGCGATGATATACTTTTGAAAACTTTTTCAAAAATTATTACAATTACAATGTGGATTTATATCGTGTCTCTAAATGCCACCCCATCTCAAGACGCTGTACAGAAACAGTAAAAAAAAACTACGACACAAATGTAATAATACCTAACCATTGGATATCCATTATTCCAACTGAGGCCAGTTTACCCAAGGTGGCACCAAAACCACTTAAAACAAACAACAAAAGGCATTAAAAAATTAGCAGAGCTGGTGAATGTGCTGGTAGAAAGCTCTTTCCCACATGCATGAGGATGTTAATGCTCAAATATCTGCACAAATGGGTTGACCAACACACTCGCTTTACCGCTATATTCTGAGCATCTTGAAGCCTCGCATATTTGAAAGTCTTATACATCTACTTGATCGATCCACCTTTGGCTCCACAAGAGTTAATAACATATGCCCAATATGAGTTTTAGACAGAAAAAGAGAGTCCAGTCATGCCCATTGGATCCGTCCTCCCATCATGCTCTGCATGTCACATGAAATCACCGCGCTGCGTGGGTAATGCGCACAGCCTTGTTTGAAACCACCGACTCGAAATACTCAAAATCACTGCTATACTATTTTGGACATCAGCAGCGACAACAGCAGCAGCATTAGCAGCGGGGCAGTGACTTGGGTTTGTCATCATTTACAGAAAGGGTGAGAAATGCTTTATCTACTTGAACCACCTGCGGCTCACTTCCAAAGCGCTGGGACTAGGAGTACGCACTACCGCGCCTCACCGTTCACCGCGTGAATCCGGCCCCACATTGCCATGCGGCTGTAAAACCATAAGGTGAATGTGCAGCCCTGTCTTTGCTTGCAGTGGGTCGAACTTGCCGGCCTCCTCCGTCCCTCCCTCCCACGGAGCCTTGGCTCAGGACGCGAAGTGTTTGAGCGCCGCTTCGCCGGGCAGCAGCAGTAGCTGCTGCTGCTGCTGCTGCGGCGTGGGCACGTGGCCGTGGGGCGCGGCGTGGGGGTGCAGCTCGGTGGGGGCCACCGGCGACACCCACGGCAGCCCCTGGGGGAGCAGCATGAGCCCCCAGCAGTGCAAGGGTGGCGCCATGGACGACGACGACGGCGTCGATGATGAGTGCGCGCGGGAGGACGAGAAGGAGGAGGCGGATGAGGAGGGCGTGCCGCTCATGCAGGGAGGCACGGCGGGCCCGGCGCAGGGCAGGCGCGACGCGAGGCCGTGCAGGTGGGCGATGAGGCGGCTCCGCAGGGGGTGCTCGCAGGCCGGGTCCCCTCCACTTGCGGGGCTGGTCACGCTCAGGTAGCGCGCCACCTCGCCCAGGCACTCCCTGAAGCCCATGCTGCGGTAGAAGTCCAAGGCCAGGGAAGCGTCGTGCAGGTAACCGCCTGCAACAGCCGGTTGATGAATCCATGAACGCAAGCCTTGGAAGTGTTGCCTTACAAATCTAATTACAAGCATGCATTTCTCCGTGAATCTTCATGCACTTTCGAGGTTTTTTTTTAGTGTAAAGTAATATTTGAAAATTCTACGAACTTAAACAAAGTATCACAATTCCAACACTTTTCTGGCAAACCCATGCCGAGTTCTGCATGAGGGGCGAATCGTGGATGTGAACTCATCGCACGCACTGGATGGCACGTGGCGGCATTAGGCAAACATGGATATACTCTACTGATGATATCTAACAAGGATAAACCCAGTATACAATCGTTGCATCGTCCTATTGCTGTCTAATATAATATGGCCACAAGTTTGACACCTGGTAGACTATAACAAGAATGTGCCCATTATCCATGCACTTTTGTGATGTATTGTGGCATGCTGAGGAAAACCATGCTAATGTTTCACATAGCAGCTCATTCTGTTTGTCAATGAGCATTGTGTGTATTATAATTATTACTCTAATTTGTTTACAGCTTGTATGTACGTCTCTGGTGAAATTGTCACCATAATAATAATTTACATCTGTAAGGCGCATATCATCCATACATCCCAACGCACGCCACGTATAGAAATCAGGAAATAAACAGAACCAGGGTACACGACCAGAACGAGGAGCTGCAAGCCAATTTAAAGCGGCGAGCTTTCAAAAACACAACCTAAACATCTCGAACGACTCTGATTGTCTCATCACCAGAGGCAAAGCGTCCCATAGTCTGGAAGCTGCACTGGCAAAAGCCCAATCACCCAAGTAAATGACCCATGCAGTGCGATAATAGGTTAACCGCAGGCCTCAGCTTCTCACTGCGGGCCACTGGTGGCCCGTGATGGCCTTTAGCGCGGCCCCTGACGTTGCGGCACCTTCGACAATACACAAATGGTGAAAACATCCCCCACCACCACCATCATCATCATCATCGTGCCGCTGTCAAACCCAACAGTGGTTTCAAATGTGTGGGCAGCCCTCACACCGCTGACAGTGGCCGCCCTTTCGAACATCAGTGAAGAACGCTGTAATAATACCGGATGGGTGCGCCGGGCGACAAAAATAATTCCCGTGCCGCCGTCCCGTATGGAGGCGGCCCAGCGAAGCCCCACAGAGCGGCAGTGTGTACCTGCTGCTGCCCCGCACGAGTGCAGCTCCTTGAGGTGGTCCACAGTCATCTGCAGGATTTCAGCTTTCTCCAGCTTGCCGCGCTCCTGCATCGTGACCCCGGCACCGGACGCCTGTGGCACACGAGGGGTTGGCCGATTTTTTTTTTATTTGGTCGATTGATTGCAGTCGATGAAACTCGTTGAGATTCCCGTGTTATCGCACGTCTCTCTCTCTCTCTTTGTTTGTTTGTTAGAGGAAGACCTGGGATACACAGAGTACATCAAACAGCGGAACGGATACGCAGTATTCGTAGAGAAACTCACGTTTGGGATTATTGGCAGGCGTGTAGAGGTTTTGAAATGAATCCACGTTTGTGATTTCTCACTGTTATTTCAGTGGGGTGTCTATAAACGGATCGCCCTGTGCGTTAAGCTCGGTTTTACCCGGGAACATCCCACTGAGTCTCATGGCTCTTCTTCAGGAGGGTCCTGCCACGCTTTCGCAATAGAATGCGATGGTTGCCATGTACACAGTAATCCCGATTGAGTCATTTACAATTAAATGCCCACATTTGGCCAAAAATTTGGACTGCACCGGCACGTAATGGCCGAATCTTGCTAATTATAGCCGTGGCACCTTAAATGTCCAACGTGAAGCAGACGGCGCGTATTTGTAAACGCACCTCCGGAATTTAGCGGGGCTTCCGGCTGGTTTGAGCGGTGTGCAGCGTGTCCGTGCCCTCGACGTGAAGCACATTGGGTCTCCATGAATGCCAACTTGCCTTGCCCCCAATCCCCCATTGCTCGGTGACTTTGCTCTGTGGCCCCGCATCGCATCGACCGACAAAGGGTTTGTGCGTGTGTAAAGGTATTATTGGGCGAAGACGCGCCATTCCCATGCAGTTAGCCGGTAGTACCGGGCACATGCCAATAGGGGGCAGAAGAGGGGCTGAGCCCCACTGCCAAGAGACGATTGCCCAAAGGGCCCAACGGTTACCCCTATGGAACGGCACGTCCAGAGGTACAGACCCCAAGACCCCAGGAGGGGGCTGGGGGATGACATCACCCCCAGGTCCTTCTGGAAGGTTCAGGAAGGAAGGTGTGGCCGGGGCGGAGCGGGCCACGGCCCTGCATAAAAGCCGGACCTCTGAACGGGTCCCGGTAGTCGTCGTTCACCCGAAGATTGAAGAGCCTCCAGAAGAGAAGAGCCCAATGGGCATAGCCGTACCCCTGGCTAGGGTCGGCTCTAGCTAATACCAGTGAAGACCCAAGCTTCACCCAAGACGTTGTTATGTTAGCCACTGAGAGGCGTATTAGTCCGGAGGGGCTCCCTCCTTCATGTATCGGGGGTGAGGGGCCGTTACCCCTATTTGTTGTATTGATTTATTGTTAAATAAATTCCGTGTTGCCTCAAGGAACTCTCCTCTAGTTATTTAACCCACTACACGTGGACAGGCTGGTCCGGATGTCTTGTGACCCCCCCTCCCATTTAATTCTCTAACACGTAATATTTTTTTGCAAGCAAGGTTTCTTTAAAACAGAAACGACGAATGTGCAAAGGAAAAACAAGTTAGGGGTCAATTAATTGGGCGGGTCACAAGACATCTGGGCCATGCTGCACAGTACATTATATCGTGGGCCCTATCGTAAAGCGCTGCTGACTGCGCTCCTCGAAAGGAAGAATCGCGATCCAACACAAACTCTCTCCTTGAAGCCCTCTCATCGTGGCTAGCAGGCCTCCACATTGGCGTCTAGCCCCTGAACGTATCGCTGCTGCCATCATGCGTAGGACCGGAATGGAATGAGTGCATTATTCAATCAGAGGAGAGGGGAGGACAATATAAATCAGTGGGGTATCAATAAATGGATCGCCCTGTATTTATTATTAATCTTGAGTTGTTGCTGTTGTTGTTCACAGCACCTGCTGCTGCTGCTGCTGCAGGAAGGCCGTGGGCTGCAGGAGATGGTGCAGCTCCGACAGGCAGTTGTTGATGCGATCCCGGCGGCGTTTCTCGATGACCTGCCGGGGGGACACGCGCGGCGTCTCACAGACTCCGAACGGCCCGCCCTCTTAGACCATCCACTGCTGGATGAGGGCCTTCCCCAACCACCCCCCCCCCCCACCACGCCGCATGGCTTGTGGCGATTGTTTAACCGGCCAGGTCATTTACTTGTCCTGTTATTTATCCAGCAGCATACCGACCGAGATGCTCGGAGAGGCAAGGGCACGGGCACCGCGAGACGTTGGGAGCGCCTCCTCATTTGGCCCGTCCGGTTGTCCGCCCACACCTTGAGTGTGACAACTCGTAACATCAATTCTTACGCATGTGCACGCACGACCCTTGTGTCAATCCACCGCTGGACAAGGGCATCTCCGCACCATGCGATATTTGGCCATACTTCACCATGCTGGTCAGTGCAGGGAGGGGGTGGGGGGGGCACGCCTAAGACGAGGGAGCATAGAAACAGAGTGATATTGTGGCTTTCGCTTCACCGCCCTCTGCCGTCCATAACATAGCCTCCACAGTTGCCGATTTCACCAGTTCCATGCATTGTGGTCGACCAATCCAAGCCACGTCCAGACTCAATCCTGCTTACTTTTCAATATCCCATGAGATCGGACACATTCCGGGTGACCATATGCCACATGTTGTGTTACTGCAAGGCCCGCGGGCCAATGGTGGACCCCGATGGCCTTTAGCCTGGCCCCTGGCGTGCGGCCCCTGACAATACACAAATGTAACCCCCCTCCCCCCACCCATCATCACCGTGCTGTCAAACGTCAGTGGTTTCAAATGTGTGTGCGCGCCCTCACACCGATGATGTCTTATCGGCGAAAGTGCCCCCCCCCTCGCCCCCACCCCCCCTCTGCAAATTCGTGAAGAACCACTATATTAGTGGGACAACTTTCTCTCAACCTTCCATCCCCGAACCCCCCTACCTCCCTCGACTCATCCGTGCCCGCACCCGGACTGCGCGCTCACCCCACGCCGCTTCTTGCGAGCTATCGCTTGGAAGGCGCCGCTGGGAGAGAGGCACCGCGACTGCGGGTGGCCTGTCCTGCAGCACCGGAGAGACACGAAGGGAAAGAGGCCGCCCCCGGTTAGCCGGACCCACACCGCAGCGGCGAGCGCTGTTGTTAGCGAGCAGCGGTGCCGGCAAAGGCCACTCGAGAGAGGCGGTGTGACCGGCCCGCTCACTGATGGTCCAAGCAGCAACGGCGCCCTTTCATCAACACGCGTTGTCTGGCGTGGGGAAGCGTGACCAATATCCCTGTCACCGATAGGATATGTGGAGGCCTCCATCCAGGAGTGGATTGACAAAGGGGCTGTAGGTATATATTTTTTCCGCTATGGGTTACAGATGTTATTACAAGACAATACTCAATTGGTTCATCCGTACTGCTGATGAGACACCTAATGTCGAAACCGGCCCCGAGTGTGCTTCTTTCAAACCAATGTTGCTGGAAAAAAATACCTCCCAGAATGCTATGTGGCTGATGGGATCTGTAAAACAAATTGTGTGGAGAGATTTTAAAAAGTACGTAAATTTTTATTGTTAGAAAAATAAATAGCATCATTCCCATATCTGTCCCTCCAGAATAAAAAAATAAAAGTGTTTATTTATTTATATCATTGAACCACACGGCCTTATGGGAGTGCATAATTATCAGCAGTAAATTTTCATTCAAAACCACACTCTGGACAGGTTTCGACATCCAACGTCTCGTCTGTGAGAAAAAGCGCTTTACAGCTCATCGTATTCCTCCGGTAATAAATACAACATTCTGATTCCGATTCGGATGGATAGCACGCCGCCGTGCGGGCCTCTATGAGTATCGCCAACCTTCTTACATTGACCATAACTCCTGCCACATTATTACACGTTTTTTAAAAAATATTAACTCACTCTGTCTGTTGTTGTATCCTCAAATTTTCTAACTAAATTTGTACCCACTTCCCAATGTGGTATCGACTGCAAACTTGGCATATTTATGTCATACTGATGACAATACTATATTCTATCATAAAAAAATATAAAACATATTTGAATTTTTTTGTATATATGTTATGTTTCGGCTTGGCTCTAATTGTCCACGGTCAACTGACGTTGGCTGTAAATGACCAGGGCCCCTTAGGTTGTGGCAAGCTTCGGGACCACTTTCTGGAATCGTCGAGTTCTTCCATTGCTAGTACGGTACATTTCATTAAAGCCTGTTTTAAAACACGTTTTTTTTTTTAATTAATATTACTTATTTGTGAACACTGCTGTCCCGGGATTATCAGACGCTCCGGAAAGTAAGACGCACCCCCTCACCCCCCACCAAACGCGTTCCCGGTTTTAATACAGTTACCGCATCTTGACAAGTGCTGTTAGCGAGCACCTATTAATGCTGACACTACACAAGAGGGGGCGGGTGGCGAAGCACCACGCCCGACGGCCTTTGTCTCCCCAATGGCGATGTTTACACTCTGCTCACACACACACACACCGGATTATATGACGCATCTCTAACGTTGAATTTGAAACACAGGCGGAGAAAAGTGACATATAACGAGACGCGGAGGAGCCTATTTGACAATGACAAAGCCATGCACAATCCACTGCTGGATTAGAGGAATTGTATGGCAGTGCGGCTCGAAGGGGTTATATCACCATACTTCACCACACCAGTCGGTGAAGGTGGAGAGAGGGGGGAGGGGGCCGTGGACTTGTCAGCATAGAAGTACCACATATGTTGCTGCATTGCCCTCTGCTGCTCGCGACGTAACTCAGCAGCAGCAGCAGCAGCCTATAGCACCTATTTCATGCAGTCTCCCATGCAACCGCTAAACAGGTTGGAGTCTGCTTCGCCTCCGACATGTGATGAGCTCAGGCACACTCCGAGCCATGTGGCCATAGGCCACGCACCAAACATCACCCATCAAGGACTGTGCATGTCCAACTCCGCTTGAGAAGCGTGGGTTAAGCATATGTCGCGGTGGGGGGGGGGGGGGGTCAGCACCCCACCAACCCCCCCCCCCCCCAGCTGAAGGCTAAAGCCCTCCTAAGGTATTTTCTTCTTAAAACGTTGGTACAGCCTTTGCTCACACGTGGGTTGAGAGCTGGAGCAGAACAATGACAAAATCATTTCACATCGTTAATCATTCGGTTTAGTGTTGAATAACATTTGCATTCGTGACCTCCCCCCGCCTCCCCTTTAAACGAGGTCACGCTGCAGGGCTATGTGGAGGTGTGACGCTTACCTGCTCCTCATGCTGCCACTGCTCCTGTGGGCAGCCCCCACTTTGAGCTGACAATCCACAGGGCAGCGACCCGCTTCATACACTGCCTTCATGCTCCCGGCTCCCAAAAACTTCACGAACAATCTTACAGAATGCCCGTCTCTCTGCTCTCCTGCCTGCTCCGCCCTGCCAGCGCGCGCGCGTGCGTGTGTGGCGTTAAATCACGCTCCTGCACCTAACACAACTTTTTCCACGGTCTTTGGGTGGGCTGTAACCCACCCCCCCACCTCGGGCGATTGTGAAGAATCGTCGTGTACACAGAGGGAGGGAAGAGAGGCGGGTCCAGCATGTATTATGCAGATGTTCCCAATCGCCAACAGAGCACAGCAGTGACTTACGCATGCTACCACCCCCAGCAACGTAGCTGCAAACAGCAGTCCACCAGATTTAAATACAAACGCAATCACCCAAATGTATTTCCACTTTAGGCAATGTGCAATTTATATTAGACTTGGTACCAAAAAAAAGAAGAGAATTAATATTTACGTCACTTTTAGAGCCAATGGGCAAATCAGCCTGGATGTGTGTGATCTGAACAGGTATCTAGAAGCTAAGCGGGGTTTGAGCCTGGACAGCGTCTTGGGATGGGTGATCACCAAGTGTGAAGTACGGTCAAATAATCTGCACACACAGCGTGTGGACAGACAAAAGCGCTGAATCTCCAAGCACCGTACGCAGCATAACAGTTGTTGTGAATGTTAAACAAGTCATTTTTTTTATTTTTGCTTACAACAGCACTTAAGTAGACTCGAAATTAACCCGTAGGCTTTTGCGGACAATATAATTCAACCAGCAACATTAGGCCCGACGATGCTGGTTGTGATCACAAGCGAAATATCATGCCGAATTGTAAATGTTATGGGTTTGCTCTCCGGCAAACACCGTGTGTGCTGAAGTAGTAACACACTGGCACCTTCTGTTCAAGTGACAGACCTTACCGATTGGCTGTGTCAGATGGAGCTGGGTGTATGATACATTTACGCGATCTAATGAAAAAAAAAACCCTCAGAATTTCACCGCTGCTTATTTTAGATGAAGCTGTGCATGTGACTCAGTTGATTGCATTACAATTCCAATGCCATTTTTACAAGTAAAATGAACCAGTTTCATGCAATCTATTTGATTAACCAGTTCATGCAAAGCTGATACAATTACTTAGTTCTCAAATATGGACAGGTATAACCTACTGCATAAAGGTAGCTAATCTTTTAAAATGCTTTAGTGAAAACGCCTGCATTCTTGAATGTAAGGCAGCTTTTGTCTACATCACCAGCTGTTCGCATCATGCTTTGGATTACACACAAATATGAAGACTTGCAGTACACTATTACATAGAGATGACGACTTTACTTACAAAGTTTTATTTTGCAATTGGAACTGACCTTCAACACATATTGCTTCGAAACGACTCGATAACAATGACATTTCTTTGTCTAAATATATTGCAGCTGTACAAAATCTATAACTGTAAAAAAAAACCCCAGAAAATATTCAGTCCATCGACAAGGTCCATTTGTGTCTTCGGTACGGTCTTCTCAACATCTCCGTGGGTGAGGCAAGGGGTGTGCCAGGCAGGTGGGCAGTGAGTACCCCCCCCCCCCTCCCACTCTACAGGCCACCTCCACAGCCCCCCGGGTCAGCAGACGCACGGACACACGCACGGACGCACGCACGCACGGCTGATCACGCCGCCTCCCCCTTGCTCTCTTGCGGGTCGCGCGACTCGACGAGCCCCAGCAATGCGGCGTCGGCTTCCAGGAGCGTCGTGTCCGTCTTGGCGCCGAGGAACCGTGCCGTCATCTCCAGGTCGACGAGCCGGAGACGGACCCGCGCGCCGCGCTGGTACTTCCTGAGACACGGAGGGAAACGCCCGAGTGAATTAATGGGCGCGCAATGATGCATCGGTTAAATCCATTAAAAGTTGATTCGTATGCTCAAGGTGCGCTCGTAGCACCGTAGCGAGAAACGACGATCAATGTTAAATATATCCGAGGTTAATGGCATGAACAAAAGTGTACAAACGAGGCAGGAAAAAAAGAGAAAATGTAAACGAGATGATACGAATTTGAATAGAATCCCGACCCTCGATTTGTGTAAGGAGCGAATTATTCAACGCCTCATAATTTGCATTGGAGAACTGATTCATCCACGTCACCCAGGGGCAAATGTTACGTTAAAAAATGATAGCATTTTCAATCTATTCCAACACACTTATAATTTATTGGCAATCCAGACTGAAGTGATTATTAATTGCATGCCGTGATGTTTTGTTTCTGTACAATGATGACCACCACACAAAGATTTTTTATTTATTTTAAGTTTCACAATGCACCGACATGGTCCACTGAGTTCCCCAAGCTAAAGCCTCAAGAATGATTTACATTTTCATTAAACCACATCAATTGGGATTTACAATCCATCCCATACTTTCCAGCAAATGGCAAACTTAAGCCCTGATAATAAAATCCCGTCGGGTATGATGCATGTGGGTATATATATATACCGATGGCCTCCTGAGCAGAATTAATTTAACACCGCGTACGTCTCCTCTCGATCGCCTGACGCTGCACAACTCTCTGTTTCGCTCATTCGCAGCCTGTCCAGGTCTGCCCCAGTATCCAGCGAAATGCTACCGATGGGTCTCTCCCAGTGTCATTGTGGGGAACCAGCAGCAGCCCCACCGCCCTAGCGGCAAGTGACAGGTGCTCACTCCAACACCCGTGATCGGCACGATCGTGTTTCCAGGCTGGCAGGGTGGAGTTTGAACTCTGGCATTAAGGCGATAAAATATTCCTGGCCCGAGGACCACTCACAGCACCAATTAAAATATTAGCATCAGAATATTTATATATATACTGGAGGAATCCGATGGGCTATAAAGCTATTTTTCACAAATGTCCAGTAGGGGCCGGTCAGAAAGCTACAACAAATAATACAAAAACACCATAGGAGTGCGAAGTATAGGAAAGATAAGCAAAACACATGTTTTTTTATTTTACCAGGTAAAGCCCACTGAGCTATTAGCTTATTTTTCAGAAGCGATCTGGCCACAAAGGATAGCTCAACGGAGTGGCTCATCATGTAAAACCGTTCAGAGAAACATTTATAACACTCCTCAACCAGACTGCTGTGATTTTGCTGCATACGACAGCATTTCCACTTTAAATAATTTGAATATATAAAAAAAATGCCACTTAATAAATGTAAAAGCGCTTCACGGGGTTCTAACTTTACCAAGCAAGCACGCACGCACTTAACGCGGACGCGAAAATTATGATGAATGTGAATGGGCCCCCTTAAACACTTTGATATTAAAATGCCTGGCAAGGGTAAAAGTTCACCCAAGGCTAATGTGCTTTGGACGAGGCGCTTTGATCCCATGGAAGCTCCAGTCGGGCACGGACGTCACGCAGCCCCGGCCGCCCACTCCACGCCAAAAACCTTGGCTACCTCTTTGTTTCTGTTCTTTCACGACTCAATGTGCCGGCTGCACTCTCCGCGCCGAACAAAGCTGCCAGGCGTGCGCTAAGAGCGGGCGCAGTGTGGGAAATGTGGAGGTGGTACAGAGCCAGCGTTGTGTGCGCAGAGTCGCAGGCAGGAAGGCTGGGATAATTATAGATAAAAAAAAAACCATTGACTCATTTTGTACAAAAGACTCATAAAAAATCACCCCCAACTGCAGTGTAACACACTATGTGCATTTTCATGCTTTAATTAAACCAACCAATGCTGCTAGATTGGAATGTATTTTTCATACATTACAAAAATGTTAATTACCGACAATGAATGTATAATATATATCTAGATCTGAAATCCAATATATACACTTACTGGATAGCAATAAACTTCAAAATATTTTGACACTATTTAACGTATACTACACACCCAAATGATTCAAGTGTAATTTTTATTTATCATGCTATGGGATTTTGGACTCGAGGATTGAACGCGACAGAGTTTGACTATATCTTAAATGTTTCTTTAATATTAAAATTCAAACTTAATTAAGGCCCATTACAAACAGTTACAGGGGTAAGTGTGATGTGGAAGCTTTTATAACAACCCACAGGCCTAGTACGCACAAACATAAAGCAAATAAAGACTATTTCTCTAATTAGCAAATTATTCATTTTAAGTAGGCAAAATATATTCATGCGATTACACACAGGGTGAAGCAAATCACCAGCTGAAACTGCATGGGTTCTGTCATTTTATTTCCTAAACATGCATGCCATAATGATCAAATTCCAGAAACATGATATCTTTGCGGGTAGGGAAAATACTGGCTGGTTGACTGGGAGTGTATCGCAGAAGTTAGCGCAATGCACTTTGCACCAGACAAAACTGTGTTTTACTCCGAGCCAGGGCCAACACATCAAAGGGCGAGTGATTTCCTAACCAGTCCAGAGCCCTCTCAACCAATCCTCAATAAGCGGCGTGAAGTACGGTCAAACAAACCACAGGACCCACACGGCATCGGGAGGTCTTCATTCAGCAATAGATTGAGAAATGGTTGTTAATTAATACATAAAAAAAAACTTCGTGCATGCCTTCCCCCATTCATCATGTAAAAAAAAAAACCCTGGCCTTTCTGAAAAAAAACCCCCCCACCCTTATATCAGAACAGCTAGGAGGCAGACCATTGTTTTCTCACCTGCACCTACCCAAAGACACCATGATCAAAGCCAAGACAGGAACACAAGGGTATCATTCCAGTGAGGTCCGAGACCTCTTTTCTTTTATTCTCTGCCTCCCTAAGATCTAAAAAGGACCAATGCTTCTGCTTCAGGAGGAACAAGTCAAAACACGCTCTGTTCGCAGCGCCGGGCGTGATCGCGTTCAAAACAAGGACCCCTCTTGATCGGAGCTTCAAACCGCCACACTTCTTGCGGGTAGAGGGCGACATTCGGTAGCAAGCGTCTGCATCCTGCTCAGACGTGCAGCCTTTAAGGCCTCACCAACAGCCAAATTCTCACACGAGAGGCACAAAAGAAATAGAGTCGTGTACTGAGGGTGCAACAATTGAGTTCCGAGACTTGATAATATTTTTGGACACTGCAGTCCTCTCGTGACTGTAGCCATGACGTGAACCCATTATATGCAACATACATGAAAATAAATGAATAATTATTGCACACATGATTCAGTGGGCGCAATTGTGAAACAAAGAATCGATATTGAGGCAATGCATCGTTTCACCTCTATTACATATCGCACTCCTCAGAAACCTTACACAGGCTATACAACGCTTTTTAAATTCAAGAATTATTTGTGCTCTTCCTTTTTTATGCATATTTACATGTCACGTATTTACATCAAATGATAGCGCCCACCCACCAAATTTCCCACATATCACCCTACTCTGATTAATACAATATGATTACAGTACCATCATTCACCTGTTCTTCAGGGACATCTTTGAGCTCTAAAACACAAGGTACAATAAAACATTTTTTACTGCAAACTATCTGTAAGTTCAATGGTTGGGCAGGTGTACAAAATGTAACAAACTTTGTGTTATCCAGTCGTGTGATTATAAGTGTAAA